GAGGGTAGCACTTTGTTAAGCCTATTAGCCAGCACCTTGGATATGACCTTATATACTACCTGGCAAAGGCTAATAGGCCTGAGATTTTTCATAGTGCGAACTTCCGACCCTTTTGGTACTAGAGTTATCCAAGTCCGATTAAAACTTCGCAACAGCTTTCCCGTTCGAAAGAACGTTAGGGCTGCCTGAGTTACATCTTGTCCAACCAAAGGCCAATAACTTTGAAAAAAACCTGCCGTGAATCCATCTGGTCCTGGAGCTTGAGTTTTCCCCATACTAAAAACCACCTTTTGAATTTCTTCATCAGAGATGGGAGCTATCAACCCAATATTCTGCTCCTCTGTAAGGTGACTTGTGAAAATTAGGCTGGATAGGTTTACATCGATCGGATTTTGACTCTGAAAAAGTCTTTGATAGTATCTTTCCGCTATGCCACATTTTTCTGCTTCAGAGGTACACCACTGTCCTCTTTCATCCTCAAGACCCCAAATCACATTATTTAGTCGCCTAGACGCAGCGACTCGATGAAAATAAGGGGTATTTTTATCACCCTCTTTTAACCAATTAGTACGAGACTTTTGTTTCCAATAAACCTCTTCTCTTTTATATTGTAGAGACAAGTTCTCTTCCAAGGATCGTACTAAATTCCAATCCACCATTTCGGCATTCCTAGCTTTTTCCAAAGCATTGCTATAGTCTTTGATCAATCTGGCTGAGTTCGATTGCCCTCCTTTACACCACTCGACCAGGGTGTGTCTAACCCTTAGCAATTTAGAGAAAAGGCAGTACTGGATGGACCCTCCCACCTGAGAATTCCAAACGTAAGCTATAATTAATTCTGCTTCTGGCATTGAGGTCCAACGAATATCAAACCTGAATAGCCTCTTAAAATGGGGGGCTAGGATACTAGTAGTCAATCGGAGTAGTCGATGATCTGAACCTTTGTCAGACAGATGGATCAAAGAGGTATTGGGCCAAAAATTCATCCATGTGGTGTTTACAAAGGCTCTATCTATTCTTTGTTCGATTGTGATCCCATTTATGCCTCGGTTCGTCCAAGTAAATTTAGGTCCTTGAAAAGGTGGCTCAAAGAGGCCAGTTTGGTGAAGGAAATCCCATAAGGGTCTAGCTTTGTCCGTCCGCCACGTTGCCCCTCCTAGCTTTTCTGAGGGGAACAGAGAGCAGTTAACATCTCCAATGATTAGGAACGGATCCGATATACAAGAAGAGAAACGTTTTATCTCCTCTAACTGATCTTGCCTTTTTGAAATGATATAGGAAAGGTAAACCCCAATCAGTACAAACCGAGAGCACACACCGTAGAGAGAGGAGTTATTATTGATGATGGAAATTGCAACAAAAAAGGGGGTGGACCCAATAACAGACACTGAGGCCGACCTTGGCCAAGCAAAAACTAAACCTCCCGACAGACCAGAAGGATCGACAATATGACAATCAGAGAACCCTAACGAGGAAATAAAAGAAGAAACCGTGCTTCTTGAAGACATTGTCTCACTTAGGAAAAGAAATGATTTAGCTAAACACCGTTGAGTTTTAAGCGTTTGGAATGTCAAGGGACTCCTCACACCTTGACTATTCCACGCAAAAACATTCATTTATCAGACTGGGGCCACTTGGGGTTGGCTTCCTCCACCCTATCTCCTTGCGCATTTTTTGGAATTGAATCCACCACGCCTTCTTCTGGCTCCTGAATACAAATACCCACGTTTCTTCGTGTGTAAACAATAGGTGACTCTGATGATTCGACCAAGATGGCTTTGCCTTTGGACTTTCCATTTTCCACCGGGCCTATTGGAGAACACGACACTGCAGATTCTGAAGGTAGTAAGTGGGCTTCCAGAATAAGAAGGCCCAAATCCCCTTGATGACCACACATGTTAACTTCATCCAAATCTTCAAATAAAAATTCTGGATTTTCATCACAATATAAATTACCTAACCCGTAGGAGTTGGTCGGTTCTTGAACTTGCAATGGAATTGGATTTACCAAAGCTTGGCCGCCAATGGTTTGCACATTACAGTCGCCTGTTTTGGGCTCCGATGTAGGGCCATTTTCAATCATTTTTGTAGGCCCTTGACTGCTGACCCAGGCCTTTCTGCTCGGCCCAGCACAAGAATTTTGGGCTGCCCTTTTTAGTCCAACTGCCATCCCTTCAATAGGGCAGCATGGGCTTGGATCAGGGCACTCGAACTGGGCTCGGCCCTGTCTCCTGGCCTGTCCGCTCCGCCCTGCTGCTAGAACAGACGAGCGGCCGAAATCCCCATTCTGCGACCGTCGTTGCCCCGGGGCTTCAAGTAGGAGCCGCGTTCCGGTTTGACGCCGGCCAGCTTGTCCAGTAGGCCGCCAGACATTAGCTCCCCTCCCTCGTCCGCCATTACGAGTTGAAGCATAAGAGGATTCGCTGATTTTTGGCCCCGTTTTATTTCCGATAATCTCAGGACCGAAGCCATCGTCTCTAGCAATTGATTCGAAGGGGCAGTTGTGCTGATTGTGCCCAATCCTTCTGCATCTGTAGCATACTGTCCTAATTCCTTCATATCGCAGAGACACCCAGAAGGACGGACCGGACGAACCATCCGGGTTCCTCTTTCTTGCCTCCAGCCTGTGTTCCAATGGAGCAGAAACGTCAATCTTGACGCGAGCTTTGAAGACGCAACCCGGGCTTTCCCAGACAGCATACATGGCCGCATCTTCCACAGTTCCCAGCCTTGAAGCCAGAAGAGCACCGAGAGCCACAGTTCTGTATTCTTCTGGCAAATTCCAGAGTTGAACCAAATACGGCACCCTAGCCAACTCCTGGAATAATTCTTCCGAGGGAGCCTCCCACTTCTTGAATGTGAGGATTTTGGATTGTATGAACCAAGGGGCCTTCCCAAGCGCTTCATTGTAATCAGCTTGGTTTGCAAAAACAAACTGAAAGAGACCAAATCCGGCATCCAATACCGTAACTGCTGCTCTTTTGGCCCAAATGTTATTGGCCATATGTTGGGCTCTGATTCGGGATGGATGGGATGAACAGAGGAGGCGACCAACAAGGCTCAGCCTAGCTCTATTCAGCCCCGCCTCCAGAACCTCGTCAGTGAATTCCACCGGGGCAGCCATTGGAAGGGAGGGGAGGAGAGGGGTGCTCTGTTTTAGGGGCGAAGAACAGGGGAAGAGTGGACAAAAGAAAGAGATCGGATGGAAGCAGGTATTGGATTGGGAGGGGGTGGGAAAGGACAGAGTGGTTAAAATAAGCCCATCTGGGCAGTAACGGGGCGGGCAAAAAGGCCCAATTAGGGCGGCCTTAAAATGCGCCTAGACTGTGGCCGCACATTTCACGAATGGCTCTTAATTGCAGCCCATTAATTTTTAACACTAACAGCGAACCGTTCATAGAAGAGTCTCGCTCTTTTTGATCACTCAGCTACGAGGAATAAAGGCTCTCGGGCCAATTAATTGCACAGGCAATAACCGCCAGGGAATATTGATTCTACCAATAATTGATCGCTGGAATTGCGTTAAATTATAATCAGCCCCATTAATAAGCCTAACGGCTCGACGGATCTTCGCGACGATCGGCGGACAGCCTGTCCGTTTGTCGGAAATTAAACCAGGCGAGGCTTCTGGGGATGCAATTCCGTCGCCGGGGATATTTCCGTATCCGGGATGATTCTGTGTACGTTGATTGCGGGAAGAGGATTCTCCGTTCACGGGGGCACGATCTGGGACGGAATAAGATTTGAGCTGAAGGAGGGGCTATATAAACTGTAGACAATCGTCTAATTAAGGCCCTAGCCGGTGGTTCCCGCCCATCAGTGCCGTTGGTTCCCTCCAGACGCTTGGCGCCACCACCATAACAGCGGATTAGAGAAGGAGATGTCGTCAGTAGCAGGGGAACACTTCCCTTTCCGTCATACTGGAGGATTCATGCTTGATGTCCAGCTGGAGGCTCAGAACCTAGAGAGGATTCTGGATACCATTGGAGAACCCACCATTGCTGCACCAGAGCAGCTCCTTCGACTTAGGTTTTGTTCATACGGTACCATCCGACAAAACTCCAACCCGGACATTGATTCGATTCGACTTAAATAAGACAAAAGGACAGAAGGGCAAAGGCCCAGAGTCACCACGAAGACTCAAATACGACCTTTTTTCTTTCCTTTTCTGAGTTTTTTTATTTTAATTTATGATTTAATGATAAATCGCTAAATATAGCATGTTATAGTCTGTCCGATATTGTCATCCAATTGAATTTGACGTTTAGAAATAATGATATCAAGCAGAGTCGCTCGCTTGGATTAATAGTGATCAGAAGCGATCGATGAATTTGTAGAGTTCATTGATAAAAAGAATCGAAATTTTATTTGTACAAGTACAACCATCTATAGGATTAATGTGGCACAATGCGACTTATCAAGATCTGTACATCCAAATAAAAGAGTAGTTCAGAATAATTAACATATTGTTGCAAAATGAATATCATTCTTAATAAACACGAAAGAACATTTTTATGGTAATTTTGCGTGGATGGAAAAAAAATTCCTGATAAGTTCAACACACTAACTACTTGGAATACGATTTTTTTTTTTTTTTGTCATAGATAGATCGTAATAGATAGGGTGTTACAATGCGGTGGATATAAAAGAGCGATATTCAGCCAAATAGACTGCTACCGATGCAAGAGTCGTTTGTACCACACAAGTTAGTCTTCTTAAAAAGCACCTTCTTAGAACCTCTTGGTACTATTATTAGATTGATTCACTCCTAGCTAATTAAGTAATATATATACCAAATTAAAAAGGGAAATATACATTTTTGATTGAATTATACTAACTTCTTGTTGGGTTGGCATCATGCAAACCTCAAAGGCCAAAGATTCTTCCATTTTTTCTATAAATTCAGCCTCAATTAGAACGGCATTCTAATTATGCACACCAGTATTCGCCACGTTCCTCCAACCACTGATCATTGACACCCGCCGCCGGCCACCGTCACGATGGTTGAAGCGATAGATGCGCCACTACCTCCGACGTCGACCACACCACAAGTCCAAGATATCTCCCTTCACGGCGACGACCCACCGCCTCGTTACATCGTCAGAGAACTCCCCGACCTATCCCCGCCGTCAACCACCATCCCAATCATCGACCTCAGCCGACTCCTCTCCGGCGACGAAGACGGCGGCCGGGAAGAGCTAGGGGAGCTCAAAGCAGCTCTCACCTCCTGGGGTTGTTTCCAGGTTCTTATCTAACACATTAACGTTTTCCACTTGTCATCATAGTATCCTTTACAATCTCTCATATCAAACACAAACATTTATGCCATTAACCAGTTTCTGTGAGTAATTCTAGTTGTGGTAACTTTAAGTTTACACTGATCCTCCATTTAATATTGAATTGTGGAAATTCAAATACACGACCACCTGATCAAATCATTAATAATACCATGTTATAAACTAGTTGGTTCCAATAATTCGAGTTGTTGAGAAAAGATTAATTATGGATCTTATATACCACTCTCTTATACACGCCAGTACTCAACCGAAAACCAACTCATGAGCTTGAAATTCGCACAAGTCTTTCGTACCTTGTGTTTTTTAATCAATTGCTAATATTGGGGGTCGTGGAGATTCAAACACACGATCACTTGACCAAACCAGCTCTGATATCATGTCAAAAACCAATTGATTCAAATAACTCGAGTTTATTAGAAAAAAGGTTGATCGTAGATCTTATATCACTCTCTTACACTTTACGTTGCAGTTGATTGGACACGGGATCCCAGGTGAACTCCTAGACGAAGTGCAGGTATCAGCCAAACAGTTCTTCCGACTCCCGTCGGAAGAAAAACAGATGTGCTTCCGACCGGAAGACGACGTAGAAGGATACGGCAACGACCCAATTCTATCCGACAAGCAGATCCTCGATTGGAGCGACCGTCTGTTGCTAAAGCTCGTCCCGGAGGACACCAGGAAACTCCATCTCTGGCCCACCAACCCCACCCAGTTCAGGTTCCTCATACAACGAAATCACTTTGTTACCTATTCTTACCATGATATCAGAGCCTTCGATGACCCATATATGACCAAAATGTTTCGGTCGATACGCAGGGAAGTGGTGAGCGGATACTCCGACGAGCTAAAGCGGATCGTTGAGGCACTGATGAAGGCGATGGCGAGGTGTGTCGGTCTCGAGGAGGACTGCTTCCTAAAGCAGTATGGAGGCAAGGAGATGATGATGTCAAGGTTCAACCACTACCCGGTTTGCCCCCGACCCGACGTGGTTCTCGGGGTCAAAGCTCATTCGGACGGGTCAGGCGTAACGGTTCTGCTGCAAGACGATAAAGTGGAGGGCCTCCAGATCTTGAAGGAGGGTCGATGGTATGGCGTGCCCATCATTCCCCATGCGCTTGTTGTCAACGTCGGCGATCAAATGCAGGTGTGTAGCTTGATGAATCACAATCGTCGGTTATTGTTTGAAATAAAATTGACATGTGGTGTTGAATTTGGAGAATTAGGATTGTATGGTATACTCATTAGAGATTAAGATATAATATAGTACTATAATCTCAAACTTCAATTGATATATGGTCTAGATAATTCCATTTCAATAGGAATACATGAGTATTGCATCTTGTAGTAGTACACTAGTATGACCTATAAATGATGGGTAAAATGATTAAATTCATCTATAATTTCTAATTTCTTAACGATGGTTGAAATTATTAGAGCAGGTGGAGTTAAAGAATTACTAAAGTCAACTCATGTTTTCCTTTGAATTTTAGGAAAGAGATAAGAGTATATACTAAATTGACACTAATTGTAAAATGAGATTAATGGTGGGTCATAGCCTCATAGACATCTACTCTATAGTATTCTTATCTCAAATTGAAGCTAATTTATGGTATATAATCCCTCACTCATATGGAATACGAGAGTATCATATACTTTTGGAGTATGTTAGTCTGATCTGTGAATGATTGGTAAAAACGATTCAGTTAATCTAAAATTTTGTTATTTTTCTTAACGAATGAAATCATTAGACTAGGTGGGATTTATAAAAATGGTATTAAAGTCAACCCATGTTTTTTTTGGACTGTAGGAGGCATATGGTACTTCATAATTTAAAACTTAATTTTAAAAAACTAGATTAATGATTGGTGATGGGTGACTAGTCTATTAATTAAAATTGACTTTGATGGCAGATAATGAGCAATGGGATATTCAAGAGCCCAATGCACAGGGCCGCAGTGAGTGCAACGAGGGAGAGATACTCACTGGCAGTGTTTCACTTGCCGGATCCAGAAGTTGAGATTGGGCCGGCCCAAGATTTGGTGACCAAGGAACTGCCCCAACAATACAGGAACCTCAAGAACTACTCTGCCATCAACTTTGATTGTTTCCAAAAGGGTGAAATTGCTCTTGACTCGGTCAAAATATGAAGCTAGCTAGTCCATAAGATCCTTTAAGTCTGCAGTGGCAGAGCTACGATTCTCGTGTGATGGTAGTAGGAGGATTCGTTACGACTTACGACTCTCTTCAACATTTGTTCAATGTTTTAAAGTTATGTTTGTGTGTTGAGAAAACATTAAAAAGTTGAAGTAGTAAGATGAGTACTACTAGCCTCTCTTCTTCAAAAACTATGTCCAATCGGAGAAGTTGCTACAAGTTCTTGTTTTTAACCGTCCTCAATTTTAAATCTTGGCGCTGTCACGGCTTGTTTGTGTATTTACATTGATCGGTTATACAGAATGCTTACAGACATTGGGATAGAAGAAAAAAAAGTTAATTGCTGATTTTTTTTTATACTTCAATATATAATATATTAATATTTAAGTTTAGAATAACAGACGTACCAAATACTTTTTCATCTCTAGTAACTCGATTTCCTATCCAAACTGTCCACATTAATTAGCATGTTGACGTACCCAAAAACAATAATGTAATACAAATTCCTCAAACTCATACCCGATCCAAATAATAACAATGAACATCTTTCTATTTCTATTAGTATTAGTGTATTGCTTTGCCATAGCCTTGATGTAGACATTTTTTACAAAAATATGAGGGGATTTAACGACCAAAACTTTATCGACTTGCTATAATTATTTTTAGGATATATTTATGATGCAACTTCAATTTTGGAGGTGCATCCAATAATTATCATTTTGATTATGGGATTCGTCAATGTACCATCATATTAAATGGTTACTTATGATTAAATCTTCGAATTTGATAAGTTTAGTCTGATTTTAAAATAATGTGTAATGCGGAATCAAAGGTGTAATTTAAGCGCGATAATTGTATCTTTTGGAAACATAAAATATTTTTGAAACTAATCTTTACATACTCCTCACTCCTCAGGCTGAGATCAAGGATTATCACGAAACAGTTGTGATTAACAAGCACACGATTAGGAATTCCCCCAAGAATCAGCTGTTCTTTTGGCGGCAAAGCTCGAAATCCACATCTTATAAAAAGGCGGGAGAGATTAATTAATTACCCTTGGAAAATCTATGCTAATTTCCTCCAAACACCGAACAATCATTCTTCACTAATGGCCACGAACAGTTCGCTAATCGCATCACTACTCTTCCTCCTCAGCATCCTGCTCCGGCCAGCTGAACCGGCCGGCGTCCCCGGAGGCCGAGTTCGGCCGGCGTGGCAGCAGCCGTACCAACAGTACCCGACGGCGGCGGGGTACTATCCGTCGTCGCCGCCGGGAAGCAGCGGGTGGCCGCGGTGGGACCCGTACGGGTACGGTAGGTGCCTGGGGTCGTTGATCATGGAGGGATCTTGCGCGGGGCAGATCCTGTCGTCGTTCTGGACGGGGAGAATTTACCTGTCGCCGGGCTGCTGCGAGTCGGTCCGGCGAGTCGACGACGAGTGCGTCACGACGGCGTTCGCCGCACTGGCGAACCCTTACTTTGGTTACGCATTGAAGGGATACTGCGCCGCCACCAGGGCTTGGGTTCAATCCCTAGATTAGGGGGTTTGATTGATTAGCGCTAATTGTTGTATCCAAAAGACTACTCGAAAAGATTGCTACTCTAATTAGACGTTCAATTTACTGTATGTTCTTCAGATGAGGTGTGTAAGGGAATGACAATAAAAAGTTCCAATCTTTAACATATTCTAACAATTCGAATTATTCTTAACAAAAATTCGAGAAAGAATGATAAGGTCACATCAATTACCAACCTTGCTTCAGGGAAGTCCTCCATGAATACAGCAGCAAGTTACACGCGCTTCATGATGTCATGCTGAAGGCCATGGCAAGGTCATTGAATCTGGAAGAGAGCATCTTTCTGCGGATGATTGGAGAACCGGTGATCATGTCTGCAAGATACTCCTATCCTCCATGTCCTCGGCCTTATCATGTCGTTGGGCTCAAGCCGCATTCTGATGAAACAGTGATAATTGATAAACTTTCCCCTGCAAGACAAAGAAGTGGAAGCGCTTTAAGTTCTGAACGATGGTCAATGGTTTAGAGTTCCAGTCTCCTCGGATTCTCTGGTCCTCAATGCTGGCGAACACCTAGAGGTAAGTAAGCTAAAAGTCTCTTGGGGTGGCAATGCCATGATGGGGAACTGAGATTTAAGCATCTAACACAACATGATATGAATGAAATATGTAAACAGATAATGAGCAATGAAGAGTTTAAGAGCCCGATTCACAGAGCAGTTGTGAACTCTGAGAGGAAGAGGATATCCCTGGCTGCACCTTCTATTCCTCACGATGGTAATGAAATAGAACCGGTTGAAGGTTTGGGCAGTGAAGAAAGGCCAAGGCTATTCAGGAAGGTAAAGTACAGCGGAAGTATTCACCTTCACCACTATCCGAGTGGAACGAGAATGATCGATGACGCAAGAATTTAAGTTTCATGAACAAACTACGCCTCCTTGGTGTTGTAGACTAAATCTGCAAACAAATGAACAATGTAGAAGCAATTATCTTCAAGAAATTTGTAAGCTTTACTAAAGACGGAGTCCAGGAGGTCTATTTGCAGCTCGTTTTAACTGTCCATCTAATTGATCTAACACGGACATTATGTCATCCGAGGAATGGTGACACTTGTCCGATGCTGCAAACTGATGAACTCTCTTCTCCACCTCAATCCAACTGGACCCAGGAGAACACTTTTCAACTCCAAGTTCCTTCATCTTCCACCTAATGTTTGCTGCATCACTCCACCGGTTAACCTGAGTGTGCAAGCTAACCAAAAGAGCATAATGACCACTATTGCCCGGTTCTAACACCTTTAACTCCTCAACAGCAATCTGTGCAATCTCAAAGTTCCTGTGAAGCTTGCATCCGCCAAGCAATGCTCCCCAAATAACAGCATTTGGTTCCAACTTCATGGTTCTGATAAGCCTGAGTGCTTCTTCAAGCAATCCGGCTTTGCTCAAAAGATCAACCATACAACCATAATGCTCCAGTTGTAGAGGGCAAGAATAATCACGAGTCATGCTTTCAAACCACTTTCGGCCTTCTTCAACGAGCCCTGAGTGAGCACAAGCACTTAGGATGCTGATGAAAGTCACCCCATTGGGTTTGATTTTCTCCGTCTTCATCTTGGAAAACATTGCTAGAGCTTCTTCTGCATATCCATGGACTGCGAGCCCCTCGATGATGGAGTTCCAGCAAAAGAGGTTTTTGTGTCTCAATTTGTAGAACACCAACAGGGACCTCTCTAAGGACCCACATTTTGCGTACATATCGATCAGAGAAGATCCAACATAGACATCAAGGTCGAAGCCATTTTGCATCACATAGTGATGGATTTCCTTGCCTAAGTCGAGGGCTCCGAGATGGGCACATGCTGAAATCACACTTGCCAAGGTCACTTCATCAGGGATAACCTCATTCTTGGTCATCTCATTGAAGACTCCTAGTGCTTCTCTGAACTTCTGGTTCTGGGAATAGCAGTTGATCATCGTAGTCCATGAAATAACATCTTTAGCAGGCATTTGATTGAATAGCAATTCAGCTGACTCTACATCCCCCAATCTTGCATACCCGTCCAACAATGTGTTCCAAGAAGCAATATTCCTTCGAGGCATCAAGTCAAACAACCTCCTTGCGGAATTCAAATCCCCTGCACGAGCAAAACCATCGTGGTCCAAGCGAAGACATCTCTCTCAGGCATTTCATCAAACACCTTGATGGACTCACCGATTCTCTTAAAATCAAAGTAAAACACTATCAACGTCGTGCAGACAAACACGCTCGAAGCAAGCCCATGTCTCCAAATCTGCCCGTGAACTGATTCCCCAACTCTCCCACCGTCGCCGCCTACAAAGCCGCAGGCTTTAACAAGAGACGAAAAAGTATAACTCGTTGGCGACAACTGAGCTCTCAGCACCTGAACATAGCACTCAACAGCATCAATGGGTCGACGATTCTCGACAAATCCTTTAAGCATCGCATTGAAAACAAAAACATTCGGATTCTCCATCTGGGCAGCCGCGGAGACGGCCTGGTCCGCCGCGCCAACGGAAGAACAAGCCGTGATGAATTGGTTCATCAGAAAGCAATCTTGGGTTGCTGCTACTTTGATCATATTGCCTAGTCCCGACTCCAAATCTCTGATCTTGGAGCATTGCTTCAAGTGGGTAACTATCAAATTGGTTCGAGGGAGCATAATAATATTAGGCGGGAAACTGGGAAGCAATGAGAAGCCATACACATCAAACGTGATGCACAGTTGTCTTCATAACTAAAGCATAAACCAAGCGGCAGAATAATACAGAGTTGGGTCCTTCCTTAGGTCACCCAATTCGTGGGTCGACCATCGGCGCTCCCGAATTAGAGCGTGAAAACGCGTTTTTCCAAGAGAGCGTCTACAATTCGCGAATTATCAGTGACCGGAGCGCGAATTGTACTGGGAAGTTCGCGAATCTCTTGATGAATTGAGTTCTACTAGAGCAAAGAGATAAATTCCTCATCCTGCTGGCAGTTCAATTGCCTTCCGCCGCCGAATGACAATCGTTAGTGCAATCCTTTCTTTTCCTCCGGCAAACACTTCACGTCCTGGCCAACTGGCCATTCTATTGCCTTCTGGGACCGAATTGATGGTCGTCTACGGAATCCTTTCTTCTTCTTCGGGTCGAATCGGAAGTCGTCAAAGCAGACCATTCTCCTTCCGGCTACGAACTACTGTTGTCGACGTTTTGGTTTTCCATTATAAGTTGATATGCGAGATTGAAAATGATTCATTCGCTTGTTGCATGGAGAAACTGATCTCCAGAAAAATGAAGGAGAAGAACAGAGCAGTGAATCGCCAGGAGAGAGAGAGAGAGTGTGGGAGGAAGAGGGAGAAAAGTTGTGTGGTCAGCGTTGGCCGTTGGGTCAGGGGTGAATGGCCAAAGGATTAAATGGAAACCAAAAAGTTAATGAAAAACCTAAAATAATTAATATTCACAAAACAAAATAACTTTACATATTTATTAATATAATAGTGAAATTAAAACTAAAAAATTCATCTTATGTGCATTGTAATTTTTTATATAAATGTAATCAATTTGTTATGTGCTAATTTGGTATTAATTATATTTTAGAAATTTTAGAAATTTTATATTACATATATAAAACTAATTAAAAATAATATATCATGACGCTCTCATCACGCTCTCAATATTGAATTCTTGAAAAATAGACGCTCTTACGCTCCCGCTCCCGCTCTCGCTCTCGCTCCCGCTCCACGAACTGGTTACCTAAGTCCTTCCTAGAACATTTCAGATTTTCTAACTTTTCCTTCCTAAAGGGGAATTTAGCTCCCCAAATGGCCAAATATGGCTTTTTAGCTCCCCAAACCCACTTTTCACTCCAACCCTATAAAAAGCTAAATTTAGCTTCTCATTTCCCTTTTTCAATTTATTTCAATAAACCATACTTATTTGACCTCTAATTTTTATATTTCACTTTAATTTTTTCATAGCTCGTTATTAGTTTTGAATACAAATTTTTCGATGTAATTTTTTTTTTAAATTCCGAGATAATTTTTTTTTCAAAAATTAGTCGTTAAAATATTACCGTTAAAACTTCGGGACCACTCCAAATATGACCGTTTTTTGTATCTGTTACTTTAAGATCGTTTTTTTGTCATTTTTTGCACCAAATGTCTTTATAAATGACAGTTCTTCATTTTCATCAACTCAACTAAAACTTCTTCCCATTTCTAAAACAAACACATTCATCACTAGTTTTGTGCCCACCCGATGGGCGGCGAGTTCATTTGTTTGTACTTTTCCTTCTATTATTTGTCATTTTTTCCAATGGTATCAGATTCCTACTTTTCATATTTATTTATGATTGTACTCTAGGTTTTAATGATGATCAACAATAAAGTCAAAAAACGCTGTAACTTCATCACTGCTTGGAAAAGATTATTCATGACCATCAGATATTTAATTGACCAACAATTGTCAACTTCATAAGTTGTACATGGTTTAAGCTCGTGTACGCCACCTTACCATACTCCTATAGAGTTGGTATTTAGACCATGAATTAACGGAGTTTGGCACATAATGTTATACCATATTCTCTAATAGGTGAAACACAGTCTTTAATTCTCTAATCCAAATCGTACGATTCATTTAATGAAAAATAGTAACCACCGATTCTTATTTGTCAAAATATATTAACATACAACTAATAGGTATGAATGAAGGTGAATATTACACCTCGAGTTTATGCTAGCCTTTTCCACCATTATATCAATGTACAACCAAACTATTCTGCTATGCTTCTTACCTTCAACATTGTACGAATTATATCAAAGCAAATGTTAGTTATGGAGGCACATTGTCTTCACTTCACATTATCCTCCAAGATTTAATATGTGACTAACTGTAACTGGAATTGTGTGATAACTTAATACAAACATAAAGGTGCTATGTTGTGCAGTCAATATAGTAACTGAATTTACAGGACATCGTCATGATATGATCCTGCGTTGGTTTTACAGGACACCGGTCCGGTACGTCCCACCCTAGTATACATGACATCGGTTAGGGTATGATCCGCAATGGATTTATAGGACACTAGTCTATGTACGATCTATGGTGGTATGCATGTCATCTACTATACTACCCGAGGAGTGTATGACTTGGCAAATTAAGATGTAAAATGCAATGAACCTAACCATGCATGTGATTGAATCATTGTATACATATTACTTATGATGTGGTTAAGTGATGAGTTTCTATGATGTGATATATGAAATGTGAATGTCGATGATGATGGTTTTCTATGGTGTTTTATACAATGATTTAAGATTGGATGATATGATGTTTTGCTATGTTGGGACAGGGGTTACATGGTAATGCCAGTATGATGTGATATTTGATGCATACATGTTAAACAGTGAGCGATGTATGAATTCTTTGAGTTTGAGATGATGAATGTGATATGGCATGTGGTGGTGAATGGATGTCTACTTGACTTAATAAGATATATCATATCGGATGTATCTTGACATTTAAGTTAAGCAAGTAAGGCCTAAGAAGTGGGTGACGGGAAACTGAATACTCCATGTTTTGCCATGGTCAATAAGAAGGACAATAAGTCATTTTGAACTATACTCTTAAAGGTAACGGAAAAGATATAAATCATTATCTTATGAGTAAGGTTATTCGGCGAGTATCATCGGTTACTAAAAATAGTAATAGTAATATATGTATTAGGGTGTCACATTAAGTAAAGATTAAAATAGTTATTTACATATCAACCATCATATATCCAGTAGTTTAAGATTCGTTTACAAATCTTGCTTGACTTAGGTGTTATTCATCTGAATATGACTCAAAGTTGCACATCTACACTCATGTAGGAAAAAGAAAGGAACTTTTGTCAAACAATAAAAAGAGAAAAGAAAGGAATTATAATTACATTAGGAAAAAGTAAAGACAATGTGTTTTATAATTGTGTATAGAAGAATATTTAATGACGTACGAAAAATTAAAAGAGAAAGAAGTTGGAATAACATAAAAGAAAAGATAATGATATTTTAATATGCAAGAAATGCCAAATTCAATCCTAAAAATGACAAATGCATTATGTATATGTACATGACTTTTTTTTATAACTTCTTTCACCAATTGGTCACAAACATATTTAAACCATATGACCATAATTCGGTTTTGAAAAATATACAAAAAACTTTGGTGACCATTGGTGTCTATTGATATTCTTAAACACATGAAATTTTGTGTATATATCACTATATCATATGAATGAACTATGTTGATATATTTCAGATATTTATAGTAAGTATTTTCTAGCAAATTGCAACATAACTATATTGGTTCACATATTTATAGTAGTTCGTACAAACAAAATGTTAAATTCTTCGTGTTCTAGAAGACGGAAGAAGATTATACTTTACTTTTCATATTTCAATTTTAAAAGAAATCACATGTCAAATTATGTAAAAGTTTATAGTTGGTATAAATTTATGTTTTTCGGATTTTTTAATTATTTTTAAGAAATTATAAACAATTATGAAACATATTATAAACTAAAAATAATTTATTTGTAGATGTTAATGATTTTCTTATCAATGTTAAAAAATAGATTACACAATTGTAACCGTGATAGCTATTCTATTGGTTAAAAAATAGTTGTGATTAATTGCATGAAAGATATTTTATTCTATTGTTTAAAAAATTGAAATGATTATAGTTTGAGCTTCTAAGTTGCATGATTAAATCATAGTTATGATGATTGATATACATGTTTTGTTGTGGTTAATAGCATCAAATATACTTTATCCTAGTGGTTGAACATTTGAAATGATGATAGTTTGACCTCATAGGTCATAGGTTCAAATCTTTGTGATGATGATTAACATGCATGTTTATTTAGTTTTATTTTAATGTAACTAATAACCTAAAATGTTAAAACTGACAAAATGACATGGAAAACTGTGGAGCTTTCGTTGTCCTACGTGGCAAAAACTTGCTCCACAATCTCAGATAGCTCATCGTCTGGAGAAGAAGAAAACGAAGAGTACGAAAGGTTTCACCACCTACGTTTGAGTTTGATCGGTCGGAGGCTGGCTGAAGGTGCATCAAGTCGCTGTCAAACTACAAGCCGAAGTTACATTGATCGTGAGAGGGTCGAATGTAATCGACGTCTTATGAGGGATTACTTCGATCCAAATCCAGTATACAATGCTCGCATATTCAGAAGGCGCTATCGGATGCAGTCAAGATTATTCCATCGCATTATGGGCGACATTGTGAGGTTTGACCCCTCATTTGCTCTAAGGCGTGATAGCTTTGGTCAATTGTCACTATCTCCGGAGCAGAAGCTTACTGGTGCGATGCGCATGCTAGCATATGGTTCTCCAGCTGATCAACTTGATGAGTATGTTCGTATGGGTGAGAGCACCTTGATGGAGGTCTTCAGAAAGTTTTGCAACAACATTATCAACATGTACGGGGCCACATACCTTCGCGCACCTACTCCTGCTGATTTAAGGATCTTACTCCGTAAAGCCTCAAGTCGTGGCTTTCCTGGAATGATTGGATCAATTGACTGCATGCATTGGGAATGGAGGAATTGTCCAAGTGGTTGGGCAGGACAATACACCGGCCACATGCATAGGCCAACAATCATTCTGGAGGCGGTGGCCTCCTACAACACATGGATATGACATGCTTTCTTTGGGACACCTAGATCGAACAACGATATAAATGTTCTGGGGATGTCTCCAGTGTTTGATCGTATCGTCAATGGAAGCGCTCCACATGTACGGTTTGAGGTAAATGGTCATGCTTATGATCAATGTTATTATTTGGCTGACGGTATTTATCCCTCATGGTCGACTTTAGTGAAGACCTTCAGCAATCCAAGGTCAAACAAAGAGGCTTTGTTTGCTCAACATCAAGAAGCACACCGCAAAGATGTAGAGTGGGCATTTGGAATCCTCCAAACAAGATGGGCAATTGTTCGTGGCCCTGCAAGAGCTTGGGATGTTGTCACGCTTAACAATATAATGCTGACGTGCATTATATTACACAACATGATAATCGAGGATGAGCAGGTTGATTCTGATGACGAGATGGATGATGACCTTGATTATGAGGTCCATGCACAACCTGAACCAATCAACCGACACCAATCAACTTTAATTGATTACTTGGCTAGAAATAACAGGCTTCGCTCATCTACAACACATCATGAGCTTAGAAATGACTTGGTTGAGCATCTTTGGAATTTACACGGCAATATCTAGCATTGTTTTACTTCGTGTTGCTTGGTTGTTTGTATTTCAAGTTTCAGTGTGTGATTGTATTTCATGTTTCTTGGTTGTTTGTATTTCAAGTTGCAGTGTGTGATTGTATTTCATGTTGCTTGGTTGTTTGTATTTCAAACTTTCAATAACACTTGTTTTTATTAAACATGGAATTGCTCAAAGTTCAAAGAGTACACATGACACATGAAAATAACAAAGCTGAAAGAGAACACACAACACATTAAAGATGTAAAGACAATAGAGTACAAATAGGATCTTCTTCTAATTAATAATCCATGACAGGAAAGTAATCGCCATCTTCTCCACCACTTTCATCGCCATCTCCTCCACCACTTGCATCGCCATCTCCATCTCCGCCATCACTTGGATAAGAGTTGGGATCATCTTGATCGTACCCATAAATGTCATTTTGTTTACGCCTCCAAAATCTCTTCTTTCTTGGTGTCATCTTTGACAAATCCTTCTCCAGAATAGCTACATTTTGTTGAAGTATTGCAGCTTCCCTCTCTTTCTTCTCCACAGCCCACTTTTCCGCTTCACGCTCCCTCACTTGCCTCTTGTATGCCCATTCCTCTTTCTCCTGCTCTAGTCTCCTCTCTTGAACATTCATTTTTCTGTTTTCATACTCCATCCTCGACTTTTGCCTCTCTCTCATATCATTACCAAACTCTAGCAGTTGAGTAGTGTATATGTCTGACGATTCAGCAACTACCTTACCTTTCTTCTTTACTGCCTTTTGTTTGTCGCGTCCTTCAGGGCGAGTCAACACGAAAGGCGCAGCTCCTTCATCTGGTAAGTCATCAAGGCCTTCCACAGGAGATGATTGAGAACCAAAACCTGTGGGAGAACTTTGGGAACCTTGCCCCATAGGTGGAATGGGACTAACAAGCAGGTCAGGATTGGAGTACCACTTTGGACAATTTCGGAGAATGTCGAAACAATGCTCAAAATCAAAAGCCTTGTTCCCATTCTCTTGCTTATATATTGCTCTTGCCTCCTTTTCCTAATAAAATATGTAATACATGGGTTAGAGAAGTTTTTATTGACACATAAAAAATAAGAAAATACACAAGTTGAGGTTCCAAAAGAATACCACATCAAACTGGTTCGTGCCACTCGATTGATGCCTTTGTGCTCTTTGCAAAACTCCCTTCCAAGCATTGCAGTGATAGCAAATAATCCTCATTCGGGATTCCATTGCAATAGCAGTACGAATTGTAGTAGGATCCCATTTTTGATGTTCTGCCGCCACTCTTTCCCACAACCTTGTAGACTTCTGGTTGGTGCCAACCGCTCCATCTTCTGATATCGACACCCAAGCTCTGCACAAGATTTCATCTTCATTCGGACGCCAATTAGGTCCTCTCTTGCCTGTCATATTTCTATTTTGAGAGACGATAACAATTGAATTTTGAGAGAATGCGATTTATGCTCTGAGAATGAGTGAAGAGAAATCTATGAAGAGTGCTGTAATATATAAGAAAAAATATGGCCGTTAAAATATGACCTTTTTTTATGGCCGTTAAAATATGACCGTTTTTTCGTCACTACATCAATTATTTCAAATTTATATTTCAAATTGAATCACAAACAACCAATGAGAATAGAGAAAAAAAAATCCAAAACAAATTGGCAAAACAAATTCCCAACCAACAAAAGTTAAAAGAAAAAAAAAACATGGCCACCACGTCAGCTGGCGGAGGAGGGCGCCGGACGCGCGCCCCAGCTGACATGCTGGCCACTTTATTGGCAGCCAAATTTCACTCTCCACCCCAAAACCCAGCCAAATATCACTCCCAAAAACCCAATACCCATTTTTTGCTTCCCATTTTTTTGTGGGTTGGAGGAAGAAAAAAAGCCAAATATGGCTTTATAGCATTTTGAGTGGTTGGGTTGGAGCTAGTCTAAGTCTTCTTCTTTGGCGAGTGACTCGTCTTATTTTAATTGTTCATGTCATGTTGTCACGCCAATCGGCTTGCCGGGCGGTCCAACCTGGTTAAACTAATGTCAGACATGAAATCGGCATAAAAACACAATTGATATGATCAGGATGATCGATTTAGGAACTCTAAATAAAATGACGTTATTTTAGTACATTTGATTGATAAGAAATGAATTTATTATATTTTTATGAATATAAAAGTTGAAAGTTGATGTAATTTGTTGAATTCAGATATAAACGTTTAGAAATTGACGTTAAATTTTGTATTTAAATATGAGTATTTGTTATTTTATTTGGAATGTTGTATTTTATTAAGCTGACATGAACCGAAACAAACCAATTGTACCACTGATTGTATAATTCCACTTGCTAAACCAACGGAACGGTATAAACCCCGTTGTTGGGACGAGTATCTACCTGGGCTAAGATCAGGTGGCTAAGGGGGGTCCCCTTAGTCACATGGCTAAGTGAATCTCAACCACTTAACCTCATTAAAAACTAAGGGATCCTATTAATCCAATTTAATGAAGGGCATTGTAGTAATTGCATGTTTAATTTTTACTTTTAATTATAAAATAAATAAAAAAACCAGCCGTCCGCGTCGGCCCGTCCCTTGCGCCGCTTCGTCTCCGTCCAATTTCCGGGGCAAGAAATTGCTCCCATCATCCGCCATCATTCCCTGGAATTCCCCGGAGAGAGAGAGGTGCTGGGAACTCTTGTCCAATTTCCGGGGCAATAAATTGCTCCCATCATCCGCCAATTCCCCTGTGAGAGAGAGAGAGAGAGAGAGAGAGAGAGAGAGAGAGAGAGAGAGAGAGAGAGAGAGAGAGAGAGAGAGAGAGAGAGAGAGAGAGAGAGAGAGAGAGAGAGAGAGAGAGAGAGAGAGAGAGAGAGAGAGAGAGAGAGAGAGAGAGAGAGAGAGAGAGAGAGAGAGAGAGAGAGAGAGAGAGAGAGAGAGAGAGAGAGAGAGAGAGAGAGAGAGAGAGAGAGTTTTTGGTCGGAACATTTTTCCGGCGAACATCGTCGCCGGAGAAGAATTTCCCGGCGACAGTGCTAATTTTGTGATGTTTGTTGACATATTTTGTAACGTTTGTATGCTTTGTTATTTTGTAATGTTTGTCGGTTTTTTTGTAATGTTTGTAAACTTTGTTATTTTTGTGCACCATGTTTGTAAACTTTGTCATTTTTGTGCACCATATTCGTAATGTTTTTTATGTCTAAAAAACACCCGGGTTGACTTTGGGAAGGAGCCCCTCTATAAGGGATGAAGCCTCCAAAGTCAACCCGGGTGTTTTTTCCCGTTCGTATGGATTGTCGGTCTAGTTTGTCATTTTTGTCCATCATGTTCGTACTGTTTGTATGTCTAAAAAACACCCGGGTTGACTTTGGGAAGGAGCCCCTCTATATAGGGACGGAGCCTCAAAAGTCAACCCGGTTGTTTTTTCTTTTTGTATGGTTTGTATTGTTTGTTGGTCTAGTTTGTATTGTTTGTACAGTTCATACGTTTGTAATGTTTGTAAATCTGTTTGTATGTTTTGTCGCTCTAGTTTGTACTGTTCGTATGTTTGTATGGTTTGTACTGATTGTAAATCCGGTTTGTATACTTCGTAATTTTCCACAATACCCAAACTACCCCTGTCATTAATTAAATAGCTCTTCCCACTTTTTAACCATTAGATTGAAGTGTCCAGATCTAAGGGCTGGGAGGGGCTTAGCCAAATGACTAAGCACCCCCCTTAGTCACCAGATCCGCTCTCATGTACCTAAGAAGATAGCCCGAAATAAGGTAGCCAACATTATGATAGAGCTGAATCCAACAATCTTGAGACATATAATTTCGGTTGTAATTACATTTTCAGTAGTCGATGCAAAATCAAGTGATCTTTTTGCTAAAAATCAAAGTTGAAAGACCACATTGTTAGTCACCTCAAAGTCAAGTGTGCACTTCTGATATTTACCCACTGTTTCGCCGACAAAACAATCTTGATTCTGGTGGAGTACTGACCTTTCTCAGTCTCCGTTGAAAATAATGTTGCTGGTGGTGGTTCTAATGACGATGCTCCTCCGTCCGGCGACCGCCACACCCAATGAATTCGAGCGGGCAACCAATCCTCCCGGCGGCGGCGCTCCCCCTGCTCTTCGTCGTTCATCTTCTCCCCCACCTTTCCCCGTCCAACTCCCCCGGTGGCGCCACCACGTTTTCCTCAACTTCCGGGGGCCGGACGTCCGCCGCGCCTTCGCCGATCACCTCTACCACGCCCTCCTCCGCAAGGGAATCAACGCCTTCCGGGACGATCGCGACCTCCCCCGCGGCGAAAACATCACGGAGGCGATCCCGCGGGCCATCGAGGAGTCAAGGTTCTCCATCCTCGTCCTGTCGAGAGGTTACGCCTCGTCGGCGTGGTGTTTGGACGAGCTGGTCAAAATCCTGACCTGCGCCAAGGAGATGGGTCACCAGCCGTTCCCGATCTTCTACAATTTGTCCCCCGACCAGATCTCCGCTCCGTCCTCCCCCTCCGGCTATTACAAGCACGATTTCGATCGGCACAAGAAGGAATACTGGCTTGTCAATGGGTAGGCCTATTGGGTTTTTTGACCCAAATACCTTGACCCATATGGATATTGGGTTTGGACCCAAATGGACCCAAATTTCTTTTTACTTTTTTTGGGTTGGGTTGGGTTTAGATTGGGTCCAGAATGGGCCTGTATATTTGGGCCGACCCAAATGGGTCCATTTGGGTATAAGTTAAATTTTGGTAACGTTAAATCAGGAATTAGAAAAAGGATAGAAAATTCCAAACATGCTAATCGATCTTCCCTGACCAGATTTGAAAAAAAAATCATATATATTTACCACTGCCTTTTTTGACATTCCAAGAACAGGAAATAAATTCCCCTCTGCCCAGAGAGAAAAATAAGCGGGGAAACAAAAAAGAAATCAATCAATAAACAACGCGCTCTCTGTAAGTAAGAAAAGTCGGTAACTCGGACTCGGAACCCGTGATGACGCCTTTAATTCCCCGCTTCCCCGACTCAGTCTGACTCAGTTCCCAACTCACTCCCACACACAGCCAGAGCTTTCTTCTTCCACCACCGTCATCTTCAATCTTCATCATCCCAACACGAACCTCTCTTTCTCTCTATTTGCTGCTGTCTCTTCATTTTCAGCTCCGATTCGATTCTCCATCCGAACTTCCACCTCTCCATTAATAGCTTCTCCCAAAATGCGGATCTCTGACTCCGCGCGCGCTGAAACACGAGCTGCAGCGGGTGAGGCCGGAGACGTCGCCCCTGCAAGCGGAATCGAGCGGGGTGAGAGGTCCGACCCGCTGGATCCAATCGGCGGTGGATATGACCCCGACGCAGCTGGAAGCGTTGGAGACGAACTGATTGGGGTCGCTGAAGCAGAGAGGGACGAAAGAAGGGTCGATTGAGATGGCGGCGAGGTGGGTCCGGAAGTCGGCGAGGCAGGCGGGCGGCGGCGGCGTCGGGGACTCGGGATACGATGGTGGAGAAGGAGAAGCAAAGCAATCGCTCTCGGTTAAGCGTATTAGGTCGAAGAGAACCGTTTGGGTTCTGTAGAGATTTGTTTTTTATTTATTTATTAATTTTCTGGGCCTATCTTGGACCCAATTTAATTGGATGGGTATGGGTCTGCTCCAAAACAGAAAAACCCAAAACCTGATTTGACCCAAATTCTATTGGGTTTGGGTAAAACTCATACCCTAAGACCCATTTGACATGCCTAGGAATACAGCTACGAGAGGGTCCACAGCTGGCTCCACGCTCTCGCCTCCATTGTCGACATCTCCGGCTGGATCCTCACGGAAAGCACGTATACACCTCGCCACCTCTTTTGGTCATTTTCACAAACACCTTATCTGCATTAACCAACTAAGCTACCTCTTTTAGACATTTTCACAAACAGCTTAGCTGCATTAACAATGTACCGAGACTAACCTTGTTTCATCAAAATTTTAGATACGAAGCCGATTTGGTAGAGGATATCGCCTCGAGCATGCTGCGGAAGGTCCAGGAGCTCCATTGGTCCTCCTCCTCCTCCTCCATCAGAAGCGTCTTCCGGCAGTCAATTAGGCAATCTCTCCATATCCACAACGGAGAAATGAATGCCACTCCGGACAGAGTGAATCATGACTCCCCACCAGCAGCCGAGTACGAACACCTCCAATTCTTCAAACCGAAGATCTCACCGCAGGGTGAGAAGACGGTGAGAATCCCCAAAACCGTCGCACAAGAAGGGATCAAGAAGTACTCGCAACTGGCTCTGCTTGGGCAGCGGTTATCCTCCTTGGACAGCGGAAGTGTAGTTGGTCATCTGAACATCAGCATCCTCATGAAGGAAGCAAACCGGCTGTGGAACAACGGCCGGTCATCGAAGATCATAGGGGTCCAAGAAGTAGGCGGCGCAGGGGTGTACATCTTCACGTTTCCCGACCGGGAAACTCGAGACACGGTGGTGGAATCTTCGCCCTGCTGCATTGCAAACTGCTCCTTCGCGATGAGGAAATGGGAGCCGAGTATGCAGCTGCTGCTGCACCGTCGGTCCCCGACGGTGCCCGTGTGGGTGCGTCTGGTAGGGGTTCCAGTGGAGTATATGACCCCCAGAGGGCTGAGCTATGTAGCCAGTTCTCTCGGGAAGCCGCTGTACGTGGACAGAGCTACCGCAAGTGGAACTCATCAGCTCGCATTTGCCAAAGTCTGCGTGGAGATGATGATGCGACCTGGTGATGGTTATCGCCGCGATCAGGGGTTTACTACCTCCTCCATTTCGGTTGCTATCGGAGACGACGGTGGTGGTGATGGTGAAGCGGTGGTCGTGGCCGTGAGAGTGTTGTACCAATGGAGTATGCCTTGCAGCAACAGCATGACTACTACTACTACGACTGCTGCTACTCAACAAATCGCTCCTGCTCCTAGCCAGATGCAGAAAGCTCAACAAATCGCTCCTGCTGCTCTTAGCCGGCTGCAGAAGGCTCAAAAGTTCATTCTTCCGAGTTCTTTCCGTGAAATTCTCATGTCGGTGGTAATTGGACCCAGGGCGCAGCCGGCGGCACAGAGCTGATACATTATGGAGGAGTACATCGTCAAACCTGCTGGAAATGATACGGTGGGGGAATTACTCCGAGGATAGAAACCAAATTATACATGATGAAGCTAGCGCTAACGCTAACGCAACTCCGTTAACATCCTCTTTGAAGCAAATGTATTACATAATTATTTTTGTAAATTCATTTTGAATTTTTTTTTTTTTTTTGGTACTACTATCTCAATCAGAGTATGAAAACAATAGTACAGTTTCAAGGCACAGTGAAAGCTTTCTGACTAGTGACATTGAGGCCGACCAGTCAGCAAAGAGAAAGAAATGACTGGAAAAGAACCGCGAGGATTTTAAGGGACTGAACATTCTTTATGTTTGGAACTATTCACCAAAGGGTACAGGCTTAGGGCTGATGAAAGGGTCCGGGATTGGTCGTTTGTTTCTGGAAAGATGCTTTGAGTTCCACTAATGCATCACACTTTATATCTTCCACGAAATAAAAATGTGCAACTTTGGTAGCCATAGACTTCGTCTTCACCATTGCCCTCTGGAAGCCCCTGAAGTGGGGGAAAAAACAAACCATTAACTACAATATTGACTTGGCCTTAATATTCATACCAGTGAGAAAACTAGGTGAACTCAGACTTAGGTCACCCAATTCGTGGGTCGACCATCGGCGCTCCCGAATTAGAGCGTGAAAACGCGTTTTTCCAAGAGAGCGTCTACAATTCGCGAATTATCAGTGACCGGAGCGCGAATTGTACTGGGAAGTTCGCGAATCTCTTGATGAATTGAGTTCTACTAGAGCAAAGAGATAAATTCCTCATCCTGCTGGCAGTTCAATTGCCTTCCGCCGCCGAATGACAATCGTTAGTGCAATCCTTTCTTTTCCTCCGGCAAACACTTCACGTCCTGGCCAACTGGCCATTCTATTGCCTTCTGGGACCGAATTGATGGTCGTCTACGGAATCCTTTCTTCTTCTTCGGGTCGAATCGGAAGTCGTCAAAGCAGACCATTCTCCTTCCGGCTACGAACTACTGTTGTCGACGTTTTGGTTTTCCATTATAAGTTGATATGCGAGATTGAAAATGATTCATTCGCTTGTTGCATGGAGAAACTGATCTCCAGAAAAATGAAGGAGAAGAACAGAGCAGTGAATCGCCAGGAGAGAGAGAGAGTGTGTGGGAGGAAGAGGGAGAAAAGTTGTGTGGTCAGCGTTGGCCGTTGGGTCAGGGGTGAATGGCCAAAGGATTAAATGGAAACCAAAAAGTTAATGAAAAACCTAAAATAATTAATATTCACAAAACAAAATAACTTTACATATTTATTAATATAATAGTGAAATTAAAACTAAAAAATTCATCTTATGTGCATTGTAATTTTTTATATAAATGTAATCAATTTGTTATGTGCTAATTTGGTATTAATTATATTTTAGAAATTTTAGAAATTTTATATTACATATATAAAACTAATTAAAAATAATATATCATGACGCTCTCATCACGCTCTCAATATTGAATTCTTGAAAAATAGACGCTCTTACGCTCCCGCTCCCGCTCTCGCTCTCGCTCCCGCTCCACGAACTGGTTACCTAAACTCAGACATTACCTTAGGGGGGATTTCCTACCATAACTTGAAGTAAGGTAACTTGAATTTTTTTACCTGCTATAGCAGGTTTCACAGGTCATATTACGTAAAATACAATAGGCATTACGTAATGGTTACGTAACATATGATAATCTTACGTAACAGTTGTAAAAGATCATTACGGAAGTCTAACGTAATAGAATGTGTCTTTACGTAATGAGTATTAACCTCGCGTTACGTAAAATGCTAAGTCATTACGGAAACCTTACGTAACGCTACTGATTTAACTGTTACGTAAGAAATAACTGTCGTAACGTAACCTTTACGTAATGGAAGGTCTTTTTACGTAATGAGTATTAACCTTGCATTACGTAAAGTGCTAAGTCATTACGGAAGCCTTACGTAACGCTTCCGATTTAACTGTTACGTAAGAAATAACTATCATTCCGTAACCTTTACGTAGTGAATGTGTATTTTACGTAACAGTTGTAAAATATCTTTACGAAAGCCTTACGTAATGGAAGGTCTCTTTACGTAATGAGCATTAACATCATGTTACGTAAAGATCTAAGTTATTACGGAAGTCTTACGTAACACTTCTAATTCAATAAGAATTAAAAAAGGAAAGAATAAAATATGGAAAACAACTAAATTTGAAATGGAAAGGGAAAAAAATAAGAATGGTAAGTTGTGTAGTGGTGACCGGCAACCCCTGTTGCCTTTTATTATCTTACTTATTTTTTTATTTATTATTTCTTTAATCAATGGTTTAAATTAAGTTTGATAGATTTTAACGGTTTAGATCTATACAAGTTACCTAACTTGAAATTATACCCAAGTTACTGTAGGAGGTCCCTACCTTAGGGTAACCTTCTTATCATTGGGATTCTCTATGACTTCAATTGATCCGAATCCATTCTGAAGCTGGTCACCCTAAGAAATCCCGGAAGACTCAGATGATTCCTGTCTGGGCAGCATATCTAAGAATGTTCTTCTTTCAGCACTCTCCCTGATTTCCCAGATCCTTGAATACAACTCAGGCTGATACCATACTGTTTAGCAAGATGCCTCACCAGTTGTGTTCAAATCAGCACCAGATGACAACTCACCCTCGAGATTCCCATTCACCTGAATTTGAACCTCGGAGTCAACTGACTGCACAGGAACCTGCGATTCGTCCACCACCATCTTTAGAAGAGTCTCCCCAACCTGCAATAGGGTTTTCCCCATGTCTTTAGGGACAAAGTAACGAAATGACAACGATTCACGTTGGAATTGTGCTACCACACTTGCTCAACAGAATGGTTATAGTTCCCAACAATAGCTCTGTCAAACATATCAAACCCTACTTGAAGACCTCCAACTTCAATTCGGAGACTGCCACAAGCCAAAGGTGGCCTTGTTGCATTCACAAACATATCCAATTGTCCATCGCTAAGCCCGGCGAGCTATTCTTAATACGTAAATCGATTCAATCAAAGGCGAGCTATTCAAAGTGAAGATCCTCTCACCTTCACAATGTCACCAGGAACGTAGAGCATCCGAGAGACTCTTCCTCTGTAATGGCCTGTGATTTTAATGACGGCCTTGTCGCACTGAACTTGACAGAGCGGCTCGAACTCGTCAACTTCACAGAGCGGCTGGACCTCACTTCAATCCAATTCAACAAACATTTTGAGAGAGAGAGGGAAAGAGGGAGGAAATAATTGAAGCCGGCCGCAATGAAAACGATCGATCACTCACCTCGTTAACAAACCACTGAAGCAGTTCAGATTCAGCGATACCTTCGCCGGTCTGCGCCAACGGCACATCGACGGTCCTGTCCTCCGGAAGATCGGCCGCCCCGCTGCCGGAGAAGCAAGGCCTCTTCCACCGCCAACAAAGCACGACAACCAAAATCAGTTCAAAATTCTCAACAGTCAACAAAAAACATGCACGGCCACTATATCCAACCTGTGACCTCGAAATTCAAGATTAGCAGTATTACACTGGACCAAACTCTTGTTCATACTTTTCATTCACTTAATGCAATTAATTTGCAAATTGCACGTGTAAATAAATATTACTAGGTAGATTTTGTCTCGCGCTTCGCTGCGGATTCTCATCGGATTAGAACTATTGTTTGTTAGCCCGTGTTTGACTTTTTACTGTATTTAGCAGCAGTATAATAGAAACTCCTAACCGAATTTAGATCAGTAGATGATTTTAGCTGTACATAATGATTTAACCACGGTTGAACTATGTTTGTACCGTATTGGCGGTCCAATAGAAAAACTCACAATGGAATCTAAATTCGTGGGGTGATTTTAGCTGTTTCAAATTATTTAACCACCGTTGAACTATGATTTTAGCACAAAACGACCTCTTGCTAACTTTTCCGGTACGACCTTTAGTGTGATTTTACAATTTTTGGTTTTTTCTAAACACACATCGAGGCTCGAGTTTGAGCAACGTGTTAAGTCGGATTCAACCACAATTTTAGCACAAAATACACTGATAATAATTTTACCGGTTCGACCTTCAACATGGTTTTACACATTTTTGTTTTTTTCCCCTCTAAACATGCACCGAGGCTTGGGTTGGAGAAACTTGTCAAACCTGATTTAACCATGATTGAATTACGATTTTAGCGAAAAATATCCTAATGATAACTTTAGTGGTACGATCTTCGGTATGCTTTTACAATTTTTGGATTTTTTCTAAACATAAATAGAGGCTCGGGTTGGAACAATGCGTCAAGTTTGGTTTTAACCACAGTTAAACTACGATTTTAGTACATAATACTCTAATGCTAACATTTTTGGTACAAACGTTTGGTTATGATTTTACAATTTTTCATTTTTCAATATAAATCGAGGCACGGTTTGGAGTGTTGTAACAAGCCTGATTTAACCACTATTGAACCACGATTTTAGTACAAAATATCCTAATACTAACTTTTCCGATATAGCTTTTAGTTTGTTTTTACAATTTTTTATTTTTCTTAACATCAATCAATCGATATTCGAGTTTGACTAATGTGTCAAGCCTGCACCAATGACATTTTCTCACTTGTCACATTAACAAAGAGATGCAAGTAAGAGATGGGGGTAATCACAACAGCTCATTTTAATAGAACTCTAAAACATGGCCGGCTCTAGAATCTAGATTAGCCAAAACAAAATAAAAAGAAATAATAATTAATTAACAACAGGCAAGTAAAACTGTAAAAGAATGATTATGGGAAAAACAAACATAACCTACCTGTCACATTAGTATATCTCTTATGCAACAGTAAAAGCCTTCTAACTTTAATTATATTCATGCATATTTAAATTATAAAAAATAAAGTAAAACTAAAAAGAAAATAATATAAATTAAAATATATTTCTTTTCTACCTACGCCTTTTTGACTTGCATATACAATTACATCCGTTGCAAACTTGCAATATGCAATTGATAATCACATCAATACAATTGGACACACATGTCATGTCATATTACAATTGAGATTGCAATACCAACGTGGATGCTCTAAGTAGCAAACTCATTTTAACAGAAACGGTAAAATACCTCAAATACCACTTAAGTTTGAGAATTGGGGTAAATACGTGTCTCATGCTACTAGGGTTAGAGCGTAAGTTATAACACATTAACACTTAAGTTTGAATAGCGCACCGATACCATTAAAATAATCAAAAGGTGCATCTATCTAGTTTTCCATCCAATTCAAAATTTTGATTATCTTTTGGTCCCCAAATTTTTAAAAACATTCAAACTATATTTCAACAAGTATTATCTAATATAAAAATTAGAAACCCTTATAAATATAGTATTACAAGACGGTCTACGAAATTTTTTCAAAAAATATATAAATTAATAAACATAACAAACAAATATCAAGAAAGAAATAATAAATATACTAGAAGGTAATAATAATTATTTAAAAACAATATTAGAATATTTATTTAAACTCCTAATTCAATTAGAAGCACCACTAAAACCAGTTAAAATAAAATCTAATCGACCATCAATACATCAACACCAAAGAAGGATAAATGGAACACAATCAGAAAGAATTAGACATATTCCAGTAATTGAAAACAATTTTAGAAAGAAAAGAGACGAAAAGTAACCAAGTAATAAGTCAACTATAAAATCTAGAAAATTCACTAACAAATCTAGAAAAGAAAATATGACTATAGTAAGAGAATTAGATTTTTTATTGTTAATTTAACTAATATGGAACATATGCAATATAATATTTTAAAATTACAGGGAGATTTAACATGAAAAATTAGACAACATCAGCATGATGTAAGAGAAGTAAATATAACAACTTCATATTATTTATATTGAGACAGAATTCGTAGGATATATTTGCTTTAGAAAATAATTCAATTATTAGAACACATAATTATAATTGAAAATACTTATAATGATAATTAACTAAATTTTTATTCAAATATTGATTTGGTATTAGAATTTTTAAAAGAGGATTCCAACTAAACATAATTCATATGATATATTTACATAATGATAATTGAAAATACTTAAATGATAATTTATTCTAAATTTTCTATTCCAAAATTGATTTGGTACTAGAGTCTTCAATAGAGGATTCCAACTAAACAATAAAAAAATGATGTTTTTCATAAGTTCAAAAGATTTCTTACAATAAGAAAAGTAAAATGACGAATTCTGAAATTTAGAAAATGCATTATTACAAAAATATTCTGTCAACTTTAATGAAACGCACTTGACAATAAACTTAAGTGGTACTGGTGCAAATATAATAGATTTTAGTGGGAACGCAGCAACAAAAGGTTTGCTTAGAGATTGGCTTGAAAGGTGTAGTGCGGCTTTCGCCTGCAACCTTGGAAAATGTACAATTACAGGCGCAGAACTTAAAGGCGCCGTTGCAGGACTTGAATTGGCATGGGACTCGGGGTATAAAAAGAGTGGAGCTCAACCTCGACTCTATCACTGCTGTCAAGGATTATTAAGAATTGGAAGGATGATAACCACTCCCATGGCAATGCTGCTCGACATTATTTTGGCTAGCTTCTCAATCGGGAATGGGATGTGAATGTTAACCATGTTTATAGAGAATGTAATTGTGCTGCAGACTTCTTAGCTTTTAAGGGACATGAGATGAATTTTGGCACACATCATTTCAATGTGTGCGACCCTCTACTCGAGTATTGGCTTTTGTATAATGTCAAGGGAATTTTCACATCTCGTGTTGTTAATTTACTAGTCGTTTGGATGCAGTATTTTGATGAGATATTTCGGACGAAATAACTTGTTTCGCAAAAATAAAATGGAATGTGGTATTTTGTCAATGAGATAATAGAAATAACTCATTGTGAGTTATTTGAAATACTACCCACCCACTAGTTATTTCAAATAACTCATCTTTCACTTTATCTCTTCTTTAAGTGTGAAATACCACAAACAAGACAATTAAACCAATTACCACATTCCAAACAAAAATACCACATGAAATGTCACATAGCAAAATAATACAGCATTTCGATTCAAAATACCACAAATCCAAAATGATATATCCAAACGACCTGTAATTAGGGATGTTCATGAACCAAGCCGCTCATGAATGGCTCGGTGTGCAACTCAAGAAAAACTCGTTCGACACTCGATTCATTTTAATCAAGTCGGCTCGCGAACAAGCTCGTTAACCAAACGAGCTGAACTCGAGCCATACCATGTTCAGCTCAAAAGCTCGCTAACAAGGTCATTTAATGGTTTGGCATAAAAAAAGGATTAGAATTCATAGATTTTATGTATTGAAATTGGGATAAATATTGTGTTTTACTTTGCTAGACTTTGCTACATGTTTGAATGTAATTTTGTGCGCAGTTCTAGGTCAATCTTGAGCTATCATGAACATTTTATGAGCTGAATGTTGATCAATCGGAAATAACAAACGTGAACACAGACACCAGATTTATGTGGTATCCCTGGAGTGATCGGAAATAACAAACGTGAACGCTCTTCTAGCTACTGATATTATTGATAATATGATAATCAGCTCCTACCTCCCTCGGCAGTACATATACACGACCAACAAACCCTACTCGAACCCTAGGGATCACCGTTACACAGAACTCGGCTCTCATACTTGGGTTTCATGGACTGAAGACAAACTAACTGGGCTATCGACTAAATGGGCCTCAAATGTACAAATGAAATATACAAAAGAAACAACCCAATCGACATAGACTGCTAACAGCCTCCCGCAAATTGATGCTAATCACAAAGCATCAATTTGCTCGAGAGATACCAATGGCGGGCGGTGGAGAATGCTTTGGTGAATATATCAGCAATCTGATCCTCTGTGCGAACATAATGCATAGTAACAGTACCGTCCTGAACAAGATCTCGAATATAGTGGACATGAATTTCGATGTGCTTCGTCCGATCATGAAGAACCGGATTAACAACAATCCGGATGGCACTGGTATTATCGACATAAAGATCCATAGGTAGAGGACAAGAAATGCCTATATCACGAAGCAGACGACGAAGCCAAACCAGTTCAGAAACTACGTCAGACATAGACCGGTACTCAGCCTCCGTAGAAGACTTAGAGACCTTATCATGTTTCTTACAACGCCAGGAGATAAAAGAAGAACCAAACTGAATAGCCCAACCAGTAGTAGAACGGCAAGTATCAACACAACCAGCAAAATCCGAGTCAGAATAGGCACGAAACGCAAGAAACCCGGAAGAAGGGAAGAACATACCAACATCCCGAGTACCCTGGAGATAGCGAAGAATACGATGTACTGCGACCAAGTGATCAGTACGAGGAGCGGCCATGAACTGACTTACAACCTGAACAGCGTAGGAGACGTCGGGACGAGTAGCAGCAAGATAGATCAAACTGCCAACTATGCTCCTATAAGGCTATAACCAGTCGGGTCCTGTAAAGGATCACTAGAAGTACGACCTAGGCGAAGGTTTGGTTCCATGGGCGTGGAGACAGGCCTGCAGTCCTGAAACTGATGATCAGAAAGTAAGTCGGAGATGTATTTGCGCTGACTCAAGAGAAGACCCTTCGAATCTCGTGTAACTTCAAGACCAAGGAAATAAAAGAGGTCACCAAGATCCTTGATGCTAAAGGCAACCTGCAAACCTTCCTTATGACTGCGAATACCAGCGGCGTCAGAACCGGTGATGATCATATCATCAACATAAAGCAGGAGAGCAACAAAACCAGCCGCAGTCTTCGAGTAAAGAGTGAGGGATCATTTAAGCTCTGCTGGTAGCCAAGTTGAGTAATAGTTGATTGAAATTTCTCAAACCAAGCACGAGGAGCTTGTTTGAGAACATACAGAGAGCGATTTAGACGACAGACCTGATCAGGCGTGCCAAGCGAATAACGGGGTGGGCGTTCCATGTAAATAACCTTGTCCAAATCCCCATGAAGGAAGACGTTCTTCACATCAAGCTGGTGAAAGGGCCACTGCTGAAGAGATGCAACCGCCAACAACGTACGGACGATAATCATTTTCGCCACCGGAGCGAAAGGTTCACCATAATCCACCCCGAGTTCCTGGGTGAAACCTTGAGCTACCAAGCGGGCTTTGTGACGTTCTATGGTACCATCGGGCTTCATCTTGATCGTATACACCCAGTGGCAGCCAACTACGGAAGTCGAGGAAGGAGGGCGTGGAACCAATGTCCATGTATTATTGGCATGTAATGCATCTAGCTCGCGTTTCATAGCATAATCCCAAACGGGATCACCTTGAGCTTGTTTAAATCTGGTCGGAATAAGAAATGCATCCACACCGTGAGCAAAATAGTCATTATAGCGAGGTGGAGGTAAACCTTGAGTAGCCCGAAGCGAGCGACGAAGAGGAGGTACAACAGCGCTGGGTGGACTGGGCACGTAACGAACACGAGTCGAGCTCGAACCTGGAAATATATTAACAAGCCGAATCCGAACTATGACAAAGCTCGACTCGACTCATTAACAGCCATTAGATGCTTGTCGTCCGTCTTGCTAACAAAAAAAGAAAACATTCACAGCAATGTCGTCAAGGCGAAGAAACCCGCCATTGTTGCTTATCTTCCTTTCCGTGTCCATTTCCTTTCTTTTCGTCTCCTCCTCCGCAGCTCCCGAAGCTGAAACTACGACGTTTCATTTCCGAGCTCCTCGATTTCATGGTAAAAGAAAAAAATAGAAAGAGTGTTCCTTTCCCCCTTGGCTCCTATTCTTATGGGTTTCTGAAAGCTTTTCCCTTTTTTGATAAAAATTTGTGTTTTCGGGTTTTCCTTTCTTTTAGATTTTTCGAGAGCCGGACATGGCTTAGTGGCGCCATTCGGCATAAGACGCCATCTCGCCGACGGCAACTCGACGGAGGTCGGTGATGGGAATATCAATCGAGGAAGAAGAAGATCAACCTCTCCAGAAGTGAAGTGCAGAACAAGAGCTGAAACGCAGGAATGAAGAAGAAGAAGAACTCACCCAGAAACGAAACGTTTCTGGGTTCCCTCCATCCAACTTAAACGAAGAACCAAAGCGACGTCGTTGTGGAGGTTTCTGAGTTAACCGTTGGGTGGACTTTCACCGAGCGAATGGATGCACGCCATCTGTCGTTTTACTATTACTGTAACTTTGAATTTCAGTTTATCATTTCCGTTTTTACTGTTCCAGCATTTGTATCTTGAAGAACACTTTACATTTGAGTATATATATAAAAGCAGAGAGATCCCTTGCTCTCTTGCGCATTTCCCCACTTTGTGTGCCGTCGTCCTCTTCCGCAAAACCCTAGCTGTAGCTAGTTTGATATGGTATCAGAGCGGTTGCTTTTCCAGTAACCTGCAATGGCGGCGACACCATCACCAAATACACCTCCGGGAGGCATTCCCTTTGGCTCGTTCTCAGGCACCACGGGTGGAGGTTCTAACAGCAACAACGATCGTCCAGATCCCCAATTCGGTAACCTTTTCTACATTAACCCGAATGAAAACATTTCTCAGGCCATCGTTTCAGAGGTACTCGATGGACCCAACTACCAGATGTGGCAGCGAGCCATGAGAATGGCCCTGAAAACCAAACACAAAATTGGTTTTATAGATGGATCAATTCCATCTCCAGGAGTAGATAGTCCTAATTTCAGTACATGGGATGCTTGCAATACTCTTGTTTTATGCTGGATCTTGAATTCTGTTGACAAGGAGATTAGAAGAAGTGTGATGCAGCATGATGTAGCTCGTGATTTGTGGGAAGAGCTTAAGGCTCGTTTTGGGTATGCAAATGCCATTAAGTTATCTAATCTGGGAGACCAAATTATTGCTTGTAAGCAAGGGAACCTCAACGTGACCCAGTACTACACTGCCTTGAAGGGTTTGTGGGAGGAGCATTTGCAATTCAATCCCATTGTGGATTGTAACTGTGCCCCACAAAGGACTCAACCCTGTGCTGCAGTTGAGGCTTTCAAGCAAAAGCAGGAAGTTGATTATCTGATAAGATTCTTGAAGGGACTTAGACCTGAATTTGATGTGGTCCATACTCAGATTTTGATGATGAAGCCTCTCCCCACAGTTGAGGTTGCAATCAATGATGTGTTGCAACATGAACAGAAGTTAAAGGCTGATAAAGGGATCACAAGGGGTGTTCAAACTATAGCCCTGGCTGTCCAAGGAGATGCTCAAGATGGAAAGAAATTCTGTCGTTATTGCAAGAAGGATGGACATGTGAAGGAAGAATGTTGGAAACTGAAGAACAAAAAGCTAAGAATGTCTGGAGGAGTGGCAGCAGCAGTGTCTCATGGTGAATCTTCCAATGACAGTGATATGTCAAGCTCAGATCCTAAGATCAACTCCGAATCCAGAAGTGTGTCTTCCAAGGAGAATATGAGTTTCTCATCTGAGGAGCTCAGTAAGCTGAGGTATCTGCTGCAGAGTGTTCCTTCTCCTAGTCCTTCTCCACCAGCTTCTCCCTCAGTGAATCATCAGGCTTTCTCAGTCACTCATGGGGTTTCTCAGTTCCCAAACTATGCTGGTAAGTTCATATTGTCATCCTTTATGCAGCATAGAACAGAATCTTTCACTCAGACTTGGATATTGGACACTGGAGCTTCTGATCACATAGCTTGCAACATTAATTTGTTCACTGAAGCTATTCCTGTTAATGATCAATTTGTCAATTTGCCTAATGGGACTAAAGTTTTGGTTAGTCATATAGGAAAGGTTCAACTCTCTCCTGACCTAGCCTTAGACAATGTTCTCCTAGTGCCAAGTTTTACCTTTAATCTCATATCAGTTAGCAAATTGACCAATGATCAGCCCATCTCATTGCATTTTGAATCTGATTCTTGTCAAATTCAGGACCTGGTGACACAGAAAAGGACTGGTTTGGCAAGACAGAGTAGGGGCTTGTACCAGTTACGCACCAAGAACAAAGATCCCATCTTACCTGTTCCTCAAGCAGCTTTTTCTTACAACTTTCAACCACAAAACATTTCCCTTTGGCACTGGAGACTAGGACATCCCAGCAAAGACAAGGAAAAACAAGCATTACCTTGTAATAGTGATGTAGTTTCCCATTGCCAGATTTGTCATTTTGCTAAGCACAAACGCCTTTCTTTCCCTGTTAGCACTAGTAGAGCACTGGATGCTTTTGAATTGATCCATGTAGACATATGGGGCCCTTTGGCTGTTAAGTCTCATGATGGATTTTCATATTTCTTGACTGTGGTGGATGATTACTCTAGAGCTGTGTGGGTGTTTTTGATGAAGTTTAAATCAGAAGCAGGTCTTTTATTGCAAACCTTTTGCACTATGACTGAAAGACAGTTCTCAAAAAGGGTTAAAATTATTCGAAGTGATCAGGGTTCTGAGTTTCACATGGCTGAATTTTATAGTACTCAGGGAATCATACATCAGCAGTCCTGTGTAGAAACTCCAGAACAAAATGCAAGAGTAGAGAGGAAACACCAACATATTCTCAATGTTGCCAGATCACTTAGATTTCAGTCTGGAGTCCCCCTCAGGTTCTGGAGTGATTGCATCCTGCACTCTGTCTATCTCATAAACAGGCTTCCTACATCAGTTTTAGCAGATAAGTCTACCTTTGAGGTTCTGTACAACAAACCCCCAAATTTGAATGGTTTGAAAGTATTTGGATCTCTTTGTTATGCTTCCACTTTGCATAGGGACAGAACCAAATTTGATTCTCGAGCCAGACAGTGTATTTTCCTTGGATATCCTAGTGGTATCAAAGGTTTCAAACTGTTTGACTTGAATTCCCATTCCTTCTTTATTTCACGAGATGTGACTTTCTATGAATCCATCCTTCCATTCATTTCTTCTAATCCTACACCTCCCACTTCAAATCTACCTACTTCAGACCCCATCTTTCCAACTCATCAATCTATTCCTCCCACTGATCCCACTCTTCCATCCACCTCATCTCCTCATCAGCCTGCAAACTCAGCTTCACCTCCTCAAACTCCTTTTTCTTCTTCTTCTCCTTCTATTCCTTCTTCTACACTACCTGTTTTGTCCACAGATAGTTTGCCTGATAGTAGTATCAGTTTGCATTCTGAGGGGGAGGATATGGAGATTGAGGTGTTTCCTGAGTCTACTGATACTGATGAAGCTGATTTCTTAAGAAAATCCACCAGGCATCGTTCTAAACCAATCTGGCATAAGGACTACCATGTTAGTTTTGTAGCTACCAGTTCTAAACATCACATTGGTCATCAGATCAGTTATGAGCATTTGACTGCTTCTCAGAAAGCTTTTGCTCTCAGTGTATTATCTATTGAGGAACCTACTTCCTATGCTGAGGCCTGCAAGGATCCTAGGTGGAACCAGGCTTGTAAGGAAGAGATATTTGCTTTGTATGAGAATCAAACATGGGAAGTTGTTAAATTGCCAGCAGGGAAGAAACCTATAGGTGCTAAATGGGTTTTCAAGGTTAAATATAGATCAGATGGTGCCATTGAAAGGTTTAAGGCACGTTTAGTAGCTAAAGGTTACACTCAGATCTATGGCATAGACTTTCTTGATACTTATTCACCAGTTGCAAAAATCAACTCTGTCAAGACATTACTGGCAGTTGCAGCTTCTAAGGATTGGCACATCCATCAAATGGATGTGTCCAATGCCTTTCTACATGGAGATTTGGATGAGGAGGTATACCTTGAGATACCTCCTGGTGTTGATATCCCTAAGGATTCAGGTCTGGTGTTTAAGCTCAAGAAATCTTTGTATGGTTTGAAACAAGCAAGCAGGCAGTGGTTTGCCAAACTCACTGCTGCTTTACTAAAGAATGGCTACTCACAAACAGCATCAGATTACTCAATGTTTGTGAGATGGATACAAGGAAGAATAGTAGTTGTTCTTGTATATGTTGATGATATTCTGATTGCAGGAAGTTACCTTGGGGACATTGAGCAATTGAAACTGTTTTTGAGTAAGGAATTTAAGGTGAAGGATCTTGGACAAATGAATTACTTCTTGGGTCTGGAAGTGATTAGAGATCATAAAGGGATCTCAGTTAGCCAGAGGAAATACTGCCTGGAATTACTTGATGATACAGGTTTTGTGGAGGCTAAAGGGTGTTTGACACCTGTTGATTGTAATGTTAAGCTTTCAGCAGAACAAGGAGAACTTTTGCCTGATCCAAGTGTTTACAGAAGGTTGATAGGGAAGTTACATTATTTAACAATAACAAGGCCAGATATTACATATGCTGTTCAGCAATTAGCTCAGTTCCAGTCAGCTCCTTGTGTTGAGCATTTACAAGCTGCTCATAGGGTGATCAGGTACCTGAAACACACCATTGGTCAAGGACTGATATTTAGAGCAGATTCAAAGCTTGAGCTATCTGGTTTTTGTGATGCTGATTGGGCAAGTTGCCCTGATTCTAGGAGGTCACTAACTGGTTATTGCACCTTCCTGGGATCCTCCTTGATTACATGGAAAACAAAGAAACAAACCACTGTTTCCAGATCCTCTTCAGAAGCTGAGTATAGAGCTTTGGCTCAAGTTGTTTGTGAAGTTCAGTGGCTGAGGAATCTGTTATCTGAGATGGGAGTAAAGGTACCATTGCCCATTCCACTTTACTGTGATAATAGGTCTGCATTACACATAGCTGAGAATCCAGTTTTTCACGAGAGGACCAAGCATATTGAGATTGATTGCCATGTTACAAGGGAAAGGATAAAATCTGGTTTGGTTAAGTTGCATCATGTGAGAACTGATGATCAGGTCGCAGACTTGTTTACTAAGGGAATGTCCCGATATCGATTGAAGTTTTTATTGGACAAGCTGGGAGTAAGCAATGCATACTCGCCAGCTTGTGGGGGAGTATCAATCGAGGAAGAAGAAGATCAACCTCTGCAGAAGTGAAGTGCAGAACAAGAGCTGAAACGCAGGAATGAAGAAGAAGAAGAACTCACCCAGAAACGAAACGTTTCTGGGTTCCCTCCATCCAACTTAAACGAAGAACCAAAGCGACGTCGTTGTGGAGGTTTCTGAGTTAACCGTTGGGTGGACTTTCACCGAGCGAATGGATGCACGCCATCTGTCGTTTTACTATTACTGTAACTTTGAATTTCCGTTTATCATTTCCGTTTTTACTGTTCCAGCATTTGTATCTTGAAGAACACTTTACATTTGAGTATATATATAAAAGCAGAGAGATCCCTTGCTCTCTTGCGCATTTCCCCACTTTGTGTGCCGTCGTCCTCTTCCGCAAAACCCTAGCTGTAGCTAGTTTGATAGGGAATTCGACGACTTTTGTATTGGCTGGAGAGAGGACTCGAAGGAAAGATCCATCGGATAACTTGGAAATTTACACTGGTGGATTCAACATCAGCAATCTTCACTACTGGACTGTGAGTTAAAAAAAAAAACTAATCTTTGGATTGCCCTCACCTGTTTCAATGGTTTCTCTCCGTTGGGTTTTCAGTGATTCCTCAATCCATCTCTCACTTTGTGAAATTAGCTGATTTTGATTGACTAATGCTGCTGGTTCTGTGTTATGGATCGACAGTTCTATTCAATTCTGGTTTTCTCCTGGCCATTAGCAGAACCAAAATCTGGGGTATTGCTGCTTCAACGAGTAATTGAATTTTGCTCCTGAATTGCAGTCTGTGAGTGCTACAGCAGCTCCATTCTTTCTCGTAGCTGGAGTTTGGTTTGCAGTCTTTGGGATATCTCTAGCCTTTACCTGTCTATGTTATTGTTGTTGCCCTAGAGAGCCTTATGGCTACTCTCGAACTTGCTACGCCATCTCCCTCATCTTCCCCTTCCTTTTCACCATTGCAGCAATGTAATATGACACTCTCGTCCTCTCTTTCTTTATCCCATATGGTTGTTACACCCCTCTTCATGCGGATTGGTAACTAATTGTTGGTGGGGGAATTCACAGTGCTGGATGTGCTGTTCTGTATACTGGACAAGGGAAGTTCATAGGCATAACATCAGACACATTGGATTATGTTGTGAGCCAGGCAGATGTAACAGCCGAAAGCCTCAAGAACGTGTCGGGGTATCTTGCTGCAGCCAAGTCGGTTGATGTGGTCAAGATTTACTTGCCTGCTGATCTGCGGGGTACACTAGATAACCTTGTGGCGAAGACCAATTCGTTCGGGAACACATTGTCCAGCCGAACTCAGGATAACAGGAGGAAGATTAAGGATGGGTTGAATGGCGTGTAAGAAGCTCTTTCAAACATGAACCAGGTATCTGAGCTTGTTTGTTTGATCATTTCTTGATGACCATTTCTTGTTTGCAGGAGGTTGGCTCTTGTGATCCTAGCAGCTGTTATGCTTTGTTTGGCATTTCTTGGCTTCTGTAAGTTCTCTTCTATTGTTTGAAACATTACAGGTGTTAGTTTTTAGTTCTCTTGCTTTCCTTCTGATATTGTGACGACTATGTTTTGCAGTATCCTCCGTTTTTGGGATGACTTGCCTTGTATACTTGTAAGTGATGATTATAATCAAGTTATATATGTCCTAACTATTCTGAAACCAGAAATGACGGTGCTGAATGTTCTGCACTTTGTTAACAGCAGCCTGGTGATTCTAGGATGGATCCTTGTTGCTGGTACATTTATCTTATGTGGCGTCTTTCTTTTTCTCCATAAGTAAGTTACTTTTTGTTCTCCTCCCATTCGTTAATCGTTCACTCCCTCGTCACCCTTTTCAGTTTCACCCTACCAATTTCTGTTCATCATCGTTAAAATCTCCCTTCCAATATTCCTATGGTTGTTTGAAACCTCTCTCTCCATCAAACTTAATATGCTCTTGGTTCGGTCTTTCTCTTTCGTGTCATCTTATCATCGTCATCACCATCCAGTGTGGTGGCGGATACATGTGTGGCAATGGACGAATGGGTCCAGCACCCTACGGCCAAGACGTTCATGGACGATATCCTCCCATGTGTGGAAAATGCAATTGCACACGAAACGTTGGTGCAATCGAAGCAGGTCTCTTTCCATCTCATCAACTTGGTTGACAACTTCCTCGCCAATTTCTCCAACCGCAACTTCCCCCCAGAACTCGGACCTCCTCTCAACTACAATCAATCTGGTCCGTTGGTTCCTCTTCTCTGCAACCCCTTCGACTCCGATCTCACCGACAAGGACTGCGCTCCTGGTGAAGTCGGCTTCCATAATGCTACTGAGGTAAGCATTCCCCCATGGATGATCAATCAGGAACTTTGTTACATGTCAGTGTATTTTGCTTAATGCTCTTAGTGTCACTGAACTTATTTCTTTCCAATGCAGGCATGGAAATCCTATGTGTGCCAAGTCTCGAGCGCCGGCACGTGCACAACGCCCGGCCGAATGACTCCACAGCTGTACTCCCATATGGCGTCCGCCGTGAACGTGAGCTACGGACTTTACCGCTACGGACCGTTCCTGGTGGAGTTACAAGACTGCACGTTCATGAGAAGAACGTTCACTGACATCAACACTTGGTACTGCCCCGATCTCCGACGGTACACGCAGTGGATCTACGTCGGGTTGGTGATTGTCTCGGCCGCGGTGATGCTGTCGCTGATCTTTTGGGTGATCTACGCCGGAGAGCGCCGCCACCGTGTCTACACCAAGCAGTTCATGATTGGTGGTGGAGATCACAATAGGCGTCTTGATCAGTGGCGGAGTAAGGAATTTTATGTAGGGGTATCCCTTTCAAAAATTAAATTTAAAAAATTTAAAATTTTTTAGATAAGATAATATCCGACTAGTACAAGTTACTTACAACAAAAGTTCACGATATGTTATCATATATGAGAAAATTGTAAAAATACATTCACTGTCTACACTCTACAGTGCTGAACAATTATCTTTGTCTATATCCTATTAGACAACTATTTGTGAGCTGATCGCCTATTCGATTTCGGCCACGTGGATATGAAGTGGCACTGTTACATGCAATTAAAAAAATCACCAAGTTGAGTCTCTAACTACTCATCCTCCGTCGACATCCCACCTTCATGTGAGATCGACTTTATGCAAGGGTCAATTTTGCAATTACATGCAATTAAAAAAATAGTAAAAACTCTTTTTTTTGTCGATATTGTAGGGATGTCTAGTATGCTAACACTGTTTTTGTTAGTAGTGCTAACACTAGCTTCAACCATTAGGAATATTTGTTTGGATAACTTTTTTTATTTAAATGAGTTGACCACAACTAATGAAGGGGAAGGAGGGGCACGCTAGTCATTAATAAAAATTGGAGAAATGAGGATTCACATGTGTCTTGTGCAATTAAATGGGGAAGGAAAAATCCACACCATAAACCACAAAATTCTCACCACAAGCTTCTTAAAGTAGTCCAGAAGTTTCTTTAACATTGAACCTATTTGTAAAATTTAAAAATTTTAAGCATCAAAATGTAAGAGAAAAAGTTTAAGGTGCTAAAATGTATTTTTCCATCAATGTTTTAAGGACTAATATGTACAAAGTTTGGATACCAAATGATAATTGTCGAAAACATATTGATTTCATGTGGTTAATCTGATTACTTCATGATATGTTTGAGAATATAATGCTTGTTTTAGAGCCAACTGACCCTGGAATGGCTATAAGACCATTACCACCGTGTGTTAGAATTTTGATACGTTATAGGTGGAAAGCAAGGAAAAATGAATGCAAATGCACAATGGTAGAAAAGCACTCCAGGGCCCGACCCAAAGCCAAACCAGTTGGGGTTATTCTTCAAATGATTTGGACCGGACATTGAAGGGAGAAGAGAGCAGCAGCAAGAGGAATTATTATTGAAGTAAAAACCCAACTCTTTCGTCTCTTGGTGGAGGATTAACTTGGACCGGAACGGTAGCGTAGAGGGAACTTGGACCGGGAACGTTGCTTTTGGCGAAAGAAGATGGGCCAGAGGGAAGGATTTACTTGGGACGGAACATAGGGTTTTGTCACGGCCTTACTCTTGGTCGTGCGACCCTAGCTCTCAATTCCGTTAGAGATGCTAGGCAGCCTTCTCACAAGCTCTCAAACTCACTCGCTCACTCACAAGAAGAAGACACAAGAAGATGGGAGAAACTCTATAGTTGTATTGCTCACAAAAATGATGGATGAGTTACAAGGGAGGGAGATGGCTCCTTATATAGGTCTCTCCTCATACAATGCATCAATGCCCCTCATAATGGTCCCTCCTCATCAATGCAATCAAAATCGCGTTCCAGCTCCATTGCGGCCGGCATCCTGCTCTCCTTTAAAACTTAAAAGCTTACGCTTTTACTTTTTTAGGTCACCAAAACGCTTCTATGTAGGATCGTGATTTTCTCTTACAAATGTAGTCAAAATCTACGCTTTAAATCTTAAAATCTTAAGATTTTACGCTTCTAGGTCACCCAAGCGCTTTTAGGTAGAATCACGCTTTTAACTGCATTGCTCCTCATTACTACGCCCTATTAAGTTTCCCCCGTAATGCACACCATTATACCACCTCATAATGTGGCTCTTTATGTGCACCATTAAGCTCATCTTCAAGATGGGGAATCCTAGGAGCATCATATGCTACTAGGTCTTCCTTAATGCCACACGTGCTTGACTTGGTAATGATCCGCCATATCATTTGCCATGTCGCCCGCCACGCGTGACATCCTCCCCCACCTATTCTCACAACGCTCTCGTCGTGTCCTTGCTACGAAATGCCTCCATCAACCTCGAGCAGCCTCTCTCGACTCTTGAGCCTCGTTGGTGACATTCTCCTCCACTCAATCCACGACACCCTCATCGTGGCTCTTTGGCAGATGCCTCCCTTGCCTTAGTTTCATTTCTTTCAAGGTCTTGTTGCGCCTTCCTCCAAGCCAAGGATGGCCTTGGCTCGCTCTCGAGCCTTGTGCTCCCATGAAGCTCCGCACTCCTCCGCGGTCGTCTCCGTCGCGTCTTCGAGTGTCCCGCCTTCTCGATCATGGTGGCCTTCCCTTACTTTTCCTGGCAAGTCGAAGATGACTCATCCGCGTCTCTCATGGCTCCACGATGTTGTGCACTCCTCCTTCTCGTCCTTCTCCAACGAGTCTTCGAGTGAGCCGCTACCTCCACATCGTTGCCACTTCTCGATGCCCTTGCCTTGCCAAACACTTCTTGTTTGACTCGAGTTGATCTCGTTTGTCATGGGAACCGATCTTGGTCCGCCATTGATTTAAAATCTATTGGCGTAGGGGATCGGGAAAGCTTTCTCCCGCATCATGAACTCCTTGCCAATGATGACCAGATAATCATCTAACGACACCACCTCAAAGTCCGCCACCCCGGTCCATCCTACAAGCTTGAGTGGCACCTGGCGCGCTACTCCATGAGTTCTTGTGGCCCTTGAGTTGGTAGCCTTCATCCACCCTCTTTGCTTCTTCTCGTACGTGATGCCTAGCCTTTACGCTTCATCTATGTCAAGAAGGTTGCAGCTTGCCCCGGTATCAAACAAGGCTTTTGTCTTCCTTTGGTTGAGCTTCGCCTCTACGAAGCATTGGTCGTGTTGCTCGGGATGGAGAGGCTCTTCCGTCCGCTTGATGGCGCTCAATCTCTTCATGCAACCAATCTTCGCGACATGGGGCTCCACTCTTGGAGTCGCCTCTGCTTCCTCTTCCGAGCTCGAGCACTCTGCTAGTACGGCCTTCATTGCCGACAACTTGTGCTTTCTTGGGCAATCTCTCACACGATGCGAACCATCAAAAAGAAAGCAAGTAAGTGGTTTCTCAACCTTATGACTACCTCCTTGGTCCAGGCTACCATGCCTTCGTGCGTCTCTGTCATAGTCGCGTCCACCTCCATTGCCTCCAAACTCCACACGTTCCTCCGGCTCGTGGTACTCGACTAGGGACTCGGAAATCGCCATTGCCTCGACAAGACTTTGCATGCCTCGCCGTTGTAGCTCCAATGTCGCCCATGGTTGGAGGCCTTCAAGGAAGGTGAACATGGCCTCCTTGTCGGTGTAGTCAAGGATCTCGAGCAACAATTCAGAAAACTCCTTCACATACCCTCAAATCTCTCCTTCTTGAGCAAGCCTCCTTAGTCTCGACCGGGCTTCAAACTCAACATTCTCGGGGTAGAATTGCCTCTTGATCTCCCTCTTGAAGTCATGCCATGACTCCATCACGCACGTCCCTTTATTGATATCACCTTGGGTCCTTCTCCACCACAGCATAGCAAAATCACTCAAGTAAAGAGGTGCAGTGTAACATCCTAACCCGACTGGGTACTACTTTTACTAAAATGCCCTTGAAAAATAAAATAATCAAATCTTAAATTGCAGCGGGAAAATTTTCATAATAATATACTGAAAACACACTCTTGTAGTTCAAAGCAACGCCCTAACATATGGACAAACTCAATACTTAAAATCTCAAAATGATCTCTAGTCTATACTTATAATCATAAATGTAAATAACTTATAATCTCTAATGTTGTTACTACTGAAAACCTTGACTAAGCATCCTCCGTGACGCTTATACTGCTATCCTCTAGCTGGCTGCCCTCGAACTCGCTACTCATTAACTGCTCTTCTAGCTCCTCTGGCTCTTCAAACTGGTGAGTGAGATGGGGCCAGTCTACGCCCTTACGTTTAAAATCTTATTAATACTTGATCACTTTACTTAACTTAGTGGAAGTTGTTTTGTACATCCACTATTAAAAATCTTAACTCTTAAACTGTATTCTTAAAGCTGAAATCTCAACTTAAATTCTTGACTGACACGGGGATCCCTCACTAGCTAGTCCGGTTTCGAACTCATACGTATGAGAAGCCATCAAGGCTTTTCTTAAACTTAAACTTATCGTGGAAAGCTCTTCTTCCACGATTCTCAAGAGCATAACTGCTGCTCAACTTAAATATCTCAAGAGCATAACTGCTGCTCTGTCTCAAAGATCTCAAGAGCATAACTGCTGCTCTATCTGAAAATCTCAAATGGCAACGGACTAGCATTAGTGACTAAAAACACTTAAAACGATTTCACGTTCTTCGAAGGTGAAGTATTTCTTAAAAGGGATTGTTCTTAAGCTTTAATAATCACTCATAAACGTAAACTTCAAAGTAAGAGATAAACTCATACATCTTCACTTCAAATCATAGCTCAACCAAAGCACATACTATCAAACATAATCATGCAATCTCAAACATGAATCAAACACTGCACATACATCACGTAAATCAATACTTGAAAATACTCAAGACAAATATTTGAAAAACCGTAAGGCGTAGAATTTATCCCCTTTACACTCACCTTACTTCCGTCGGAACTGGCTCTGATTTTGCTCCAAAGTTTCCATACTCGCTTCCAAGATAATAGTACACTTGTACTTGCTTGAATAAAATGGAGCAGCTTGCCTGGCAAATGGAATTAAATGGACCATCTTGCTTTGGTCATTATTGGCATCCAAGTCACGGCGGAGATGGCAATAACAACAAAAATGGAGCAGCTTGCCTGGCAAATGAAATAAAATGGAGCAGCTTGCTTTTGGCAAATGGAATTAAATGGACCAACTTGCTTTGGTCATTATTGGCATCCAACGGCGGAGATGGCAAAAACAACAAGATGAGAGCTGCTTGGCGGAGATGGCAATAACAATAAGACGAGCTGTTTAAGCAAGCAACTCTCAGAGGGAAAAAGAAGTCCGCTGTGGATGTGGAGATGGCAACAACAACAAGACGAGCTTGCTTAAGCAAGCAACTCTCGTACTAGAGGGGAAAAAGAAGCCCGCCGTTGTTGCTGCTCCTCATCTCATCGTCCACAGGGGAGATAGCAATAACCATGAGACGAGCTTCCTTGAGCGATCAACTCTCCTGGTAGAGGGAATGATGGTCCTCCCTTCTCCTTGCCTTGCTTACCCGATAGCAAGTCCGCCACCTAGCAATAACAAGGAGATTCCCCTTCGGATGGCAATAACACGAAGAAGAGCTTGCTTAAGCAAGCAGCTCTCTTAGATATGCTCTACGATTCCCC